CCTGGATGGAAGCTGGAGGCATGTAGGTAAGTGTAGCGGTCAGTAGGTTTCCGGTATAGGGTGGTATAGGGTGACAGTCCCCCAAAGTTCGGAGAGCTGGTGTGCTCTAGTGATTGTGCTACTCAGCTCAGGGCCCGGAGACTCGAGTGCTGGTCCCAGATCTCTCACTGACCTGCTGTGTGGCTTTGGGCAAATCACTTGGCCTCTCAGTGCTTCTGTGTTTTTCCATTAGCTCTTGGAAACAGGAGCTGTCTCTTGCTCTGTATACGTACAACGGGTGCCTGACTTCACGTGGCTGTTATAATAGAAGGAATAGTGCAGAGGATGTTTTGCTGGCCTTGTGAGCGACACAGGGGTTGCGTATGGGGAATGTGTTGAGGAAAGGGTTTCTGCAAACGCCCCGTGTAGGCCACCATGGAAAGCTGTGATGGGTGTGGGCCAGGAGGGCTCATGTTTGTATGGCCCCAGTGCTTTACGTGCAGTGCTTTTTGTCCCCTCTCCACTAGCGCTGATCTGTAGGGGGGCAGTCCACCTCTGTAATCCTTTCAAGCTGTGAGCTTGAATACTCTGATTTGACGTGCGAGGCACAGATTTCCCTATGGGTGTCCTTAGTCATGTGGATACAGTTGTGTCTTTTTAACATTCAAATAGCCTGAGACGGGCAAGGCCCTGTTCACTCCAGTCTTTGCACAAGAGATATGTGTGTTTTAAACTGTCGCCCCAAGCTCCCTTGCCTACCTGGGACTCAGAAGGCATCCCCCACAAAGGAGAATGTGAGCCCCGTTGGTGCTCTCCTCGCTATTGTTTTATGCCCTGGTTCTTATTGGCCTCGGTGGGCACTTCAGAGCAATATGAGCTTCAGAGATCCCATCCCTTATTTTTCATCCCAGTCAAGAAGGAGCCAAGTTTGGTCAGCCCAGAGCCCTGCTGAGGGGAAGCCAAGTTGGAGGATTCCAACAGAGCCTGGTGGTGTAGTCGACCCCACTGTAAGAGAGCCAAGTTCATAGAGCGTAGTCTTCCCCTGAGAGCACGCAGGAATATTTTAAACGTCTGCTAGAGCTGGCTAATGTGTTTTTGCTTGTTTGCTTTTTTGTTTAAAAACAAAAAGAAGACCCCCCAAAAAAATTCTTTTCAACCAAAATCAAAATGTTCTCACACACATCTCATTTGGGTTGAAATCTTCTGGTTTTCTGGCAGAAAACGAGAAGCCAGAAGGTGTTTTCTCAATTATTTTTGAACCCCGCTCCTCAGTTTTCAGGTTTGATTTTTTTCATTGAAAAATAGAAAAATGTTCTCCGCAAACTTAAAAACGTAAGCACATTAAAAACGATCCCGCTAAGAATAAATGGCATTTGCCACAAAGCTCTGACATCGGCACAGTCGCCTGAGAGTGATATCAAAAGTGGGTGGAGCTTATTTTGTGGTAAGAGCTTGGAAGGTCACAACTGCCTTTCTCCTGACCTTCCCCGCCCACATTTGACTCTTGTTGTCAACTCCTTTTGATCAAGTAGCACCATGCAGCCCACCAGCAAGTGCTTCAAGGACTGTCATTTGGAATCTGCTGGCAAAAGCCGTTAGCTGAAATTGCTTGGTGCGAATAGTTCTTCTTCTATTTTGTAGGATTCCGTTTCTCCCCTTTCCACATGCTACTCTCCTATCTAATGGGGTCATTTCTAACTTGACAATTCAGGTGCCTCATCTCAGCTGAGCATATTTTGTAATGTGTCACTGAATTGGTAATTCATCTCCTCCTTGTCCTTTTCACTGGGTATGGAACATTTAATAATTGACACTTTACACAGCCAGTATTAAATCATTTTGGCAGCCGTCTTTCATTTATTGGTCTCCACACAATAATAGCTCTCTCTCTGTGTTTGGCGGGTGGAGGCGGGGGGAAGCCAAATCTGTGCCATCTGGAGAAATGAGATTTTGTAGCACACTGATGGCCCTTGGGTTTGTTCTTCTCGAGGGAAAGTTTGACATGACTCAAGAATGTCCAGCAGCAGGTTCTAAAATCATGGGCCAGATTCTCCGCTGGTGTAAATCATCTTCGCTTTACTTAGCTACGCTGATTTGCACCAGCCAAGGATCACTCGTTTCAGCAGGAACCCAAGTCTTGTTTTCCCACCACCAGTTGAGAAGCAGTCAAGTCCAAGGGGGGCAACAGAGCATCGGCAAGCCTCAGCCAGAGTCAATTCTGAGAGCAGCAGGGAATCTGAGCCTCACCGAGCGGGGAGCTCACCAGACATGCGTTAGCACATCGTGAACACCTTCACACTCTGTGGGGATAGACATCTTCAGGGATGGTCCAGGTATGCTTAGCCCTGCCTCAGCATGGGGATATGAACTAGATGACCTCTTGACATCCTTCCAGGTCTCCATTTATATGACTCTATCATCTCAAGTGGTGGAGCTTAGATTAGTACCGTTTCCTCCCACCTCCGCAGTTACTATATTTTCTTATTCTGTAAGACAAAAGGTTTACGTTCTGGCATAAGTAGACTGGCTTTGCTGGCTTATGTTGAATTTTCAGACCATAGGGGTAGCGCCTGACCTACATTACATGTTCTCAATAGAGCTGGTTTAAAAAATGTGACAATGGTTCAAAGAAAAATGGAGGTTGAATATTGAATATTCAGTGGCATTTTTTGCTCTGGCAGTGTTTCAGTTTTTGAAAACTAAAAACTTCTTCGGTTGGATTTTTGGGGTAGGAGGGCTCCTCCCTCTTTCTACTTTCTTCCCTGTTTTACATTAGGAAAAATGGGGGGGGGGGGGAGGAGGGAGAATAGAAAGGAAGGAAAAGATGAAGGAAGAACATTTTTTTTCACTTCCGCTACCTTTTTCTACCCTTCCTCCCCCTCCCTTTTCCAGTGGTAAAGAACAGGAACTATTGTGGGGCAGGGGAAGGAATTCCCATAAAAATCTGAAAATCAAAACCCTACATGTTTTTTTTAAAGTGAATTGAAAATCGCAAGGCTAAGCAAATGGGAATGAATATGTCAGCTGTTGAAAACTGAAAATGTTTTTGTTTTAATGAAACTTCCTCCAAGTTTCAATAAATACCAATGGAAATTTTCATCAGAAAAATTCCATTGAATCAAAAAGCCATGTTTCATTTAAAAAAACTGTGATTTTTTTTTTTGGTGACCAGATGTAGTGGTAAGGCTGATGTGGTAATATGGAATTCCAGAGCCTTCGGCCAGGGGATTCATCTACATTCGGTCAGCGGGTATGTCTCTCTTGTCCTCTGCTGTCACTAGACAGACACCCAGTCACAACAGCACGAGATGTACTGTGTCACTGGTCTCTCCCTTTGCTGGTAGCAATACAGATGGTTCACTCTGAGCCTGTCATTAGTAAGGCTGTAGCTCGTCTTTTTCTCTCAGCATTTGTTTAATAACAAAAACTCCAACTATTGTAGAACAATATTCTCGGTAGCATCATTGTAATATACAATACTGGGAATATTCTCAGCACTCTGAGAAGGATACAGGTTTCTTGCTAGAGAGTTACATAGTCTGTGTATATGTGTGTCTCTAGACCTACATGTGGCTTCTCTCTCTCACTAGTTTGTACTTTTTGCTCTCACTAAATTGACAAGAAAATGTCTCTCCCCCCCCCCCTTGTCATTAGAAAGTCACAAAAATTCACCCACTGCTAAACAGGCAAACAGCCCTGGACATATCTCCTCTCCCACACATACAAAATGTTAATTCAGTTCAATACAATGAGACTTTATTGACCTAAGAAGCTCTGCAAGTGTTACCAAAGAGTTAAAAAAACAAACAGATCCCTGAGGTATTTGTCAGGAGTGGGGGTAAAGACAACTCACCCAGCATAGGGTCACATACTGTATTTGGCATCTGATTGCACAAGTCCATTTCATTACTGTCTGTTCCCGATCTAATGGCAGGTTGTCAAGGAAGGCAGTACTTCCTAGTGGACAGAGTACTAGACTATTAAATAGGAGATCTTGGTTTTATGCCCAGTTCTGCCCCAACTTGCTGGATGACCTTTGCCAAGTTACCTCACCTCTCTGTGTGTCAGTTTCCCCATCTGTAAAATGAGCATAATGATATTGACCTCCTTTGTAAAATGCTTTGAGATCTACTGATAAACTAGATGAGAGCGAGTACAATGCCATCTCTCTCTCTCTCTCTCTCACACACACACACACACACACACACACACTATATTTTAGGTATAAGGAACATCACTGGAACTGGCAATACCTCTGAAACTAAAACTATATATCTATATGACAAACTCATAAGCCCGAACTCATGATCCGATTCTAGATTCACTTGCAACCCTGAATATGCTAGAGCTGACTGTTACCTCAAATATCTTTGGCTTGCCGAATTGCATTCATGTTATGACTGGGAAAGTTACCATTTGAATCTTCCATCTCTAGTAAAAAACATGGATTGACTTTATAGTCTTGCAAATATGAAGATTTATTTTCTCTCAGGATACATATTGACAGAAGGGGGTTTGGTCAATATTTACTGTTTGGTTTAAAACC